TTTAATAGGAGGTTCAATTTGAAGTATCCAGCTTGTCTGTTCATTTGGAAGAACATCGCTGCCATTTCCTAGTCACTAGAGTTCAATGATCTTCCCCCTGGCAGCCTGTGGTGTGCTGTTTGAGCTTCTGAAATTCTTTCCACAGCCCAGGCCCTGAGCACCAGCTACTCCCATTCAATGTGTCAGAAAGGATAAGTGAGCAAACTGTAACAACACGTTACTCCTGTGATTGAACGATAAAAACCAATTAGCCATTTTAATTGGGGTCTATAGTTATTTTGATTTTGTTCTTTCCTATCCCATCTTTGAGCAGCAGGGTTTGAATTGCACAGATTATAAAAGAATGGTTGAATCACCAAAAGACTATTAGCCCTGATTTTTTTTAAGTCCACAGTATACTGACATCATCATTATTACTCAGCTTTTTAAAATACTTAACAAATACTGAATTTCCAACACACATCTAATATGTAGAAGGATTCTCTTACTAATAAACAAAATTTAATTTCATCAATACAAAATATATTCTGCTACACTCAACTCTTTAATTTTATTATAGTGATTAAAATTACAAGTGGTATTAGCAAATTTCCTGTTGTAAGAAACAGTGTGTGCTATGATTCTATGCCATGTCTTCTGGCCATTCAAAATAGAGTTATATCATCTTATAAATGGAGAGGGATACACATTGTGCTTTTCTCTTGGTACTGATGTTGCTCGTGTGCTATCATTTCAAAAGGCAAGAGCTAGCTTTGCCACATATTTACATGAATATATAAATAAAATATAAATATATTTATTACATAAATAACCCTTCTAGGCACAGTACAGCTCATATTTGATGGCGCACACAAATTAGTTGGGGATTTTATTAAAATGCAGATTCTGACTCAGTAGGTCAAGAATGGGGCCCAAGAGACTGCATTTCTAACTAGCTCCCAGGAGGCTTGTACACACTTCTGGTTGGCAGACCCACTTTGAATAAAAGGGTCTTTGAATTTAAAATGTTAAATATTTTCTGGACCTAGGATGTGGTACTAAATGATGCTCTTTTTAGGTTAAAAAAACAACAACAATGTAAAAGGAATGTGGTATGGATTATCTTTATTTTCCTCAGAAACCATGCATACCTTCATAATGTGACTTGTTCTGGGTTTAGCTGGCCAATCACAGCCCAGCCAATTACAAGTCAGACCGTTGCTGATGATGGTGCTGCTGCCAGTGAGATGCACACCTGTATGCAGATCTGGCTAGAAGGGGTTCCTTAGTCACTGTCCACAATGTGTACAGAGACATTCTTCTTTTGCTTTGTATGACAGGTGTATTTGTGTGACACATATCACAACTCATCTTCATAGTTATTTTTTAGTAATTTCAGTCATTAATATGAAAACTAGAAAATCCTGTGAAAGGTCAATATATGTAAAGTGTATAGATGTTTGGCAGAGATTTCCATTTTTACACAAATACTTCTGATATCAGAGAAGCAGACATACAGCTGTTGCCCCTTGCCTTACTCCCAAAAGAACCGCACCTCCTCCAAACTGCTGCATCTCTGGTTTGCTTGTTGTGCCTTCTGCCAATTTACCTTGATGACTGGGGGCTGTGGGGGGAGAACTGGGGTCAGAGATTATACAAAGGGATACTTTCTCACTATTATGAGCAGTCATAAGGTAGAGAAAGTTATGCACATTTTCTCCATTCAAGATCTCTTAAAAACATGCAAATTTGCAAAAAGCTTTCTACAAATGTAGTTATGTTATGATTCAGTTTGTTATCATGTGTATCATAAAAGTCTTAGGATTCACCAGAATACAAGTTCACACCTGCTTTATCCTATCAATTTTCTACTGCTGTGTGTACTGGCACATGAAAAGATTTTTTTACCAAAAAAAAATGGATTACTTGAGCTAAAATGCTAGATTTGAATGACAACTTTGGGCCTAGCTAAATGACATATAAAAATTGTTAGATGGTTCTATGAATCAAAAGTATCTCAAGAAACTGACACTTGAATTGGTAATCAGCCAAGTGTCTTTGATCACAAAGCTCATATTTGAAGGAAATATCTGTGTCATATAATGAATTAAAGTTCACAACTGAGGGGGGAATGTTTGACTAGAAGAGGTGAAATGTGAACTCTTAGAAAGAGGAATTGGGGAAATAATGAAATCATTGTAGAGGTTTGGGGATTTTTGTTTGTTTTATTCTTTGGGGGTTTTCTTTTCTTTTCTTTTCTTCTTTTAAAAGCAAAAGTCTAGACAGATTTATCTGTCTGGGATGGTAAAATGTATTCTTGTCAGGTAGCTGAACTCTGGGCCCATGGAGATAGAGACCATGTCTGTCTTATTCATCAGTGTATTTCAGCACTTGGCACAGCACTCCCATATACTAAGTTCTTAATAAATATGAATGAATGAATGAATGAATGAATGAATAGGTGTCTTTGCAGATGCACTTGCATTCCTGAGACTTTGTGAATGTAGAAAATAACTAAACGAGTAACTTGGGCTTAACAAAAAGATATGATGAGTTCCATCTTCAACTGGGTGGTTGCCATGGTGGTGCAAATACTTCTATGATTGATAGTTCCTTGAATCTATCGTTCGGTAATAATAAGTATGTAATGGATTGGAAATATTTGGCTCTGCTGTTAACTTCACAGATTTCTAGCACGTTCAAATCAAACACTAGAATTTCCCCCAAGGTTTTTATTGTAACATGCTAACATTTATAATAAATAATCCTCCCCCCCCCCTTTAAATTTGTACAGCTGAGGTCTCAGGAAATCATCATCACACATCTTTTCTGGACTGGAGAAACGTCTGTTTACATACTCGTGTAGGATGGTTTGTAATTTACAGCTTCCTTTGCTTGCATTCATTCTTCAGCAGCCCTGTGCCCTAGGCTGCACAGATATTACCTTACTTCAAAACTGAGGAAATAGAGAATTAATACACTTGCCCAAGAGAACAGTGAGTAGTGAGAAGGAACTAGCACTTTTCCCTGCTGACTCCTATTCCAGTGCTCTGTCCTGTAAAAGACAAGAACTGAATGGAACTTAACAGTTTACAGTGTTTCTTAGTGTAGTTCAATTTTCAGGATAAAATAATGAGTTTATCAGGGTCTAGACATGAAAAAGCTGAAGTTTAGAGAGGGTGAGAAAAATAGTCCAAATTTAACTATTGGTGGACTCAATAGGAATCCTGCCTACAATTCTTCTGCCTACAAGTCTTAGTCATTTTGTGGTTGGTCAGTTGGTTATTTGGTTGGTTCATTGTTTTAGAACCTCGGACATATTGAATTGGAGTAATTATTTCTTTGGTTCATTTCATGCTCTCCTTACTAGCCCTTGTACTGCTCTGTTTATTTAGTTGCACGGTAATTTTATAGGGTAATACATATCTGTGAACTAAATAAATAAGACATTGACAACTGACCTTCATATAAAATGTTTCCTGATTCCTTTCCCCTGTCTCCCCTTATGCAGTGTTCCCAACATTCTAAATACTATATTCATTGTTCTATTGCTTTCATTTTCATATAGTTATGCATAATTATATTTTTATACTTGTAGGGAATTTATATTTTACTTTTTTAACTTTATGAAAAGTATATGTGCTAGATGCAACATTTGAGGGATTATGCCATGTTGTATATAATTTGGAGACCTGATATGTAATTGGAGTTCATCCCATGGTGTGTGTATATGTATGTATGTACATTTATAATGTAAAGACTAGATCAACCTATTCAACCTGTTCAAATCGAGAAATATGTAAATGCACTGTACCTGCCCTGGCTGATGTGGCTCAGTGGATTGAGGGTCGGCCTGCAAACCCAAAGGCTGCTGGTTCCATTCCCAGTCAGGGCACATGCCTCGGTTTTGTCTAAGGTCTCAGGTCAGGGCATGCAAGACAAAAACCCATCAACATCTCTCTCTCTCACGTAGATATTTCTCTCCCTCTCTTTCTCCCTTCCTTCTCTCTAAAAATAAATAAGTAAAATCTTAAAAAAAAAAAATAAGCCCTGGCTGGCGTAGCTCAGTGGATTGAACGCGGGCTGCGAACCAAAGTATCGCAGGTTCGATTCCCAGTCAGAGCACATGCCTGGGTTGCAGGCTACGGCCCCCAGCAACCGCACATTGATGTTTCTCTCTTTCTCTCTCTCTCTCTTTCTCCCTCCCTTCCCTCTCTAAAAATAAAGAAATAAAATCTTTAAAATATATATAAATGCACTCTACCTAAATATTAATTAATTATAAAGACGTTTATTCAACAAATATTTACAGGGTACCTACCATGTGCCAAGAGGTACTATGCTGTGATACATTTCTGCAAGATAGATACACTCGTCCCCCAAATATCCCTGATCTCATGGAAATAACATTGTATGTATAGACAGAGGCAGACAATAAATAAAATAAATATGTAAAATATATAGGATGTTAGATGATAAGTGCAGGGGAGAAAATCATGGAAGGCCTTTAAGGACTGGCGTTTGCAATTTAAATGGAAGGGTGCTCAGCGATGATGAACTGAGGGTTGGCTGAGTGAGTGCCGTGGAAGTAACTTGTGAGAGCCGAATCAGAACAGAAGTAAACTCTTCGGAAACCCCCACACTGACCCTATTATTTCCGTGTGTACAATGACGGGTTCAGTCGGTACTGATGGCCCCCCAGAGAAGACAATGCATTTTCCTCCCGCGTTTCTTGCAGCTGGCTCTCGGCTCAGCTAAAATCGCCCTGGCAGCGGCCGCCGCACCTCAACGCCTAGCGTGACCACCACCACCCCCCGAGCACGCGCGGGGTCGCAGGCAGGTGCACACCGCCCTCTGGCCGCTCCCCGCCCGCCGGGAACGCGCGCCGCGCGCGCCCGGCCCTCAGGCTCTGGGCAGGGACGCTGCCGGGAGGGTGGCGCGCGCCCCGCTCGGCAGCTGCGGCGGCTGCTGGTGTGGGCGCTCGCGTCAGGGCTGGGGAGGAGGAGGAGGAGGTCCTCGGCGAAGAGAGTGAGAGAGACATGAGGCAGCCCGGCAGGCAGCGAGAAAGAGTTCGGCGCAGAAGGAGTGAGTTTTAGAGACGCCGGCGAACAGGACCTGCGCCTGCGGGAGAGCCCGGCCGCCCGGCTCCTCGCCGCCTGCGCGCGCTCTCCCGCGCCCGCTTTCAGCACCCCGCGCGGGGAACAGTTCCCGGCAGCGGCCGCGCCGCCGAGGGGCCGCGCCCGCGGGGCACCGGAGCCTGCCACCCGGCCCAGGAGCCCCCTGCGAGAACCCAGGGTGCTCGCCGCCTTCTCCCTTCTGTTCGCGTGCGAGGAAACCCGGGGGAAAGCATCCGGCGGCCTCAGGAAGTCCCGAAGAAGTCGAAGCAGAATGTACCAGGGACACATGCAGGTAAGACCTTTCCATCCTAACTGGAAAGAAATCTTGGGGGCTCGTTGAAGAGCAAGGCGGCTCACCAAGTTACTGTGGTCAAGCGCCGCCTTCACACAGTTCAACAAGTGAAGTGGTGCAACATGACCATGACATTTCTGTCCGGTGCTGCTGGGAAGGCTGGACCTGTTTCAGAGGGAAGGAGAAGGGAGGGAACGACCACCTCGGAACTTCGATTGGGGAAGTTTGTTTTCTGTGCATTCCCTGAGCCTGTTTTTTCAAACAAGCTCAAGGAACCCAAACAGAGAAAACCTGGAGCTGACCGTGTTTCCGTTGTACTCTTCTTGATGCAACTGGGCATGTATGTCAACTGAAGGGCAAACAATAATAGGAAAGACAAAGCGTTTTCCTTTACCATCTGCAAAGGCTTCTTGGCAGTTAGAGCACTTTGCACTTTTCATTATTTTTAAAGTGATATTTTTTCAGTGTTTTGTGCTGTATTTTCCCCCTTACAATGATGGGACATTGTCACCTATCCCTAGAGTTACAAGATGACTGGGGAGGATGAATTTAAACATATGTCCGAGAGGCTCTAATGTTTTTCAGGGGGGTGCCACCTAAGGTTATTAATGCTTATTTGAGCTGAGCTGACACTTCTCTCTGATGCACTCTACTCTCCTGGGCAAAGATTACTTTAACCTTGACTCCAGTTCTCATTCACCTGGTTGGTTCTTCTTTATAGAGGCAGGTGCATGCTTTAGGGGGAAAAACTGAAATACCAACTCAGCTTCATAAAGTGTGAACTGAGCTCTTTTTGCTATTTCTAAATACTGTAGTCATCAGGTTTGATGTTTGAGCTTCCTTTCCATTCCAAAGACAATCAAATACAGTCATTATATGTGGTGCCTCCACCCTAGTGTGTAACATGTGTGAACACAGAAGGTGTTGCTTCTGTGTCTTTCAGAGCAATGGAAAATAGATAAATATGTTGTTGCATATTTCATTTCCAGGGCTGTGAGGAAATTCCTTTGGACTATGATTTAATTTTGTATAAAATGGTATTGTATCATATTGCTAAATTTTGTAAGAATTCTGAATCAGCACTATCAGAATTCCAAAAGCATTTGTCATATTGCTGACATCCTCCTGTTTTGAAAATTAGTAATGGAATTATATCACAGTTGATGGACAATAATTAATGATTGAAGTATATTTCTTAATACATATAATAAATATCATCTGCATGTTTCTTATCAAAGCTACATTAATTAGAAAGTTTAGTAACAAAGAAGCATTCAAACAATGACTGCTGAAAAAATTAACAAAAGATTATTACTATAGTTTTATGCTTCATCTCCACCCAAGAATGGTACTTACAATTTTGTACATTATCTATTATCCTTAAACAGTTTCTCTATAAGAGTAAAAGAGAAGGGTTTTAATAAATAAAGTTATTCTTCAAAAAATTGCTCATCAACACAAAATTCATAATTGACAACTTGGGCAATTTATAAAAACTTTCCATGTCATTTTGTTCATTTGTCTGTTTCTTTGTTTGAAAACACAGTTTTGTGAATGGAAAATTGAAGCAACAATCTGGTAAATTTGTGAACCCCAAAACAATTTTAACTCAATTTTCTGAATATTTCAAGAAAAGATGTTTATGAAACTTGAATTGTCTAGAACAATGTCTGAGAGTTTCATTTCACTTTGAGAGACTAGACAAAATTTAAGTCTCTGCATACGCTCCAGACTTAATGTGTTTTTTTGCTCATGCAATGCTATAACAACAAATATGATGGCTGGCAGTAAAACTCACAAATCTTTGCTGCCAAGTTTAACTTGAAAACGTTACTAAATGAAGACTGTAATCAATATGCTTGCCAAAAGTTAAGAGCACAATAATTTTTTTCTATTTACTATTGACCATTACTTTTAAACATAAAATTTCTAAGACTTTACTAGTTTAGTAGCTATTAAATGATATGATCGTCTCAATGGGAATTCCCACGCCCCAGAAAATAATGTCTATTGCAAACTGATTTATAGTAGTCATTTGCTTACATTTTAAAACCCCAGTCTGTTCCTTAAAGAATAGTATTTACTCTTTGACAAAACCTTCATCATGTTGGTATATTTAGATTAAATAAAGAATCTTTCCTTATCATCGGAAATAGCCCATCTTCCTGGTTGTAGCTAACTCTAATCTCAAGGAAGAAGAAACATAGTCCAAACACTCCAGAGGTTTGTAATTAAAAATATAAATGCATATCTGGTGAAGCGAACTGGAATGAGCAGATTCACTAAAATTTCTGCTAACTTTGGAGTTTGTTTGAAACACTGGCGTTTCTTAGCTGATACCTTAAAACAAGAGTGAAACAAAATATTTGCCGTGATTTGCTGTACCTTCTTCTCTTTCTTGTATCCAAGAGATTTTAAAATAAAATGCTTTGTAAATAAACAACCTGGAGTGAAGGAGGTATGCACATGAAGCCTTAAAAGGTAGTTGAATTTAAACTTCTACAGAGCCTTTATTTTTGCAATTTAATGAGTTTGAAAATAAACTTTTTAAACTCTTGTACATACAGCAATTCATCCAGTTTACTGTAAAAACTGGATTTACTTCAGAAGTCACAAAATTTTAAGAAACACTGCTAGTTCTTTAGAAGAGAAAAGCTGACATCTATTATCGGTAGATACACAAAGCATAGCATAGTAGCATGTATTTTTTGGTTTCATAGTAAACGTCATGGGTATATTTATTAGGAGCAGGGCCCCAGAGTTATGCTATTTTCCAGCTGCCTCACCAGTTATTTCCAAGGGGAACTGATCACCCCAGAAACTGAAGCAAAGGTTGTTTCTTTAGTGATCTAAAGATTTACTTTTTTTTTCCCTTTGACCAAGGCAGCCAGTGGTGATTATGTACTTAGCATCAGTTCTGACAAACTCTCTACTCTGAATAGACAATTTGTGGTCTTATTCCCTCCACTACCTCTGTACATTATGTACTGTGATGCTTACTTGTATGTGTCCATGAGTTAATACTGCCAATTCAAGCAAAATAGTTACTTGGCTCAGTATTTTTCTTTAATCATACTTCTTCCCCCTGGAATTATAGAACGATATAATTTCAATTTTGAACTAACATTTGTGTTTTATTGTTAATAAAGCATCCACAGTAAATTTTTTGTTTAAAAAAAGTTATTTCAGAAGGCAGTGAAACAAAAAATCTGTTTGTAATTGTAATTGATCTCTATTATAGGCATTCAAAACAGGCTTTTTCAACTTATTCAAGTCAGCTGAGGAAATAGTCCATACCCTCTGTCTTTACAAGACAAAAAAACTAAAGAAAATGTAAATGACAAAATTATAAGATTATTAACAGCTCTGAAAGTCCAATTTTATTTGTCTTTCACCAAAGGGTTTTTTTTGTTTGCCTTTATTTATGACTTTGCTTAAGCTTTTCAACAAAAATCTTCCAAGGGGAACAGCTTGGGTAACACCAGTTACGTTAATGTATTAGGTCTGGTCACTTGAGATTCACTTGGGTTCACTAGAAACAATGAACGCAGAAGCCAGTGCAAGGTAAGATTATAGAACGTTGTTTTCAACATCCGTGACAGCAGTTTGTCATCACTGAGATCCTAAGGAAAACTGTAAAATAGACAATATTTTGCACAGGTACTTCACTTCTCTAACAGATCCACTTTTCCCCTCCAGATGCCATCATTTTCAATCCTGTCACTTCTTTATTAACCCTTTGCAAACAAAGATATAATTAATACCAGTACACCACACATACACACCTCACAGTATATTTGCATTTTCAGAGGAAAATCTCTGAAGATTGGTTTGGGGAGGGAGCCAGGGGGTATTTTAAGGAGAATGAAGCAATGCTGGCCTGAAGCCGGAGTTGGTTGGGTTGTGTTCGTCAGGGGTAGCTGCGGCCTTCCCGTCTCCCCTCAGCTCAAGTGAGACCTGCCCTCCTCCTTGAAGTCTTCCTATGAGCTATAATGAGCATTACTACAATGAATTTATTGCCTGAAGTATTTTTACCTAGAACTCTATTGACATAAATTCATGTACAATGAAACTTATATCAAAATTATGACAAAATTATAAGCTTCAGCAAGATTTTGTAGTGCCTTTCTATATATTTACAGGCAAATCATGCTTGGAATGAATGTGATACTGAATTTCTAACACTTAGAAATTATAAACTTATGATATTGTAGAGTATTTGATTAGCCTGAAGATTATATTCCCCAGCCATTCCAGCCAACAGTTTACATTATACACTTACTGTAAGAAACACAGTATGTTCGTCCTAGATTTTATTTATGGATTATAAACATTCTTCCTAAAAATATGTGTTTGAAAAAAATTTATGAGCATGTGAATGTTTTGACTATAAAACATTTTTAAAGAATAAGAAAAGGTTAAAACAGAACTTGTTAATTTTAAAATCCCGAATCTCTGGTAGTACCACTGCCAACCTAGGAAACATCAAGATGCAACACATCATGTAATCAAAACATCTGGTGGGCCGCTTTTTTACACTCTTCGTGGAGGTCACATGTTGCCAGCATAGGCATAAGGTAGAGCTGTTGAAAGGTCTTACATTCTAGAATTAACTTTATGATGCTTTTATGAAATAACTAGTGTGCATTTCTTGCACTAAATGTGAAGGCAAACCCTAGCCAAATGTTTTCTTGTTAAAAGACTTGAGTCTGATCTAGATGTTTTGGGACATCTAGACATGATGTAATTTCAAATACACTAATAGAGAAATTGGAGTTGCCAAGTTTCTGAAATGTATTATCACCTTTTTATAATTCAAATTTATATAAGGAAAAGCCATCTTGAAATATAGCATGTAACTCAGGGATCAGAGAACAGAGTGCTATGATTTGGGAGTTATATTTTTTTTCAGTGGCTCCTTCCTTTATCTCTGCTTCCCCCAATTTAACCAGTCTTCACCTATACCATCCCTTTACTAGGAGTACCAAATGGAAGACTTC